AGACTTCTCTAAAATCAACGGGATTTTTTAGCCGTTTCAAACTTAGATACATTAGATTAAAATTGTATGGGCTATAAAACTGCATACCAAAAAATGCCTAAAGATTAATGGCGTTATTCATAAAAAATTTGCTTTAAAAAAGGTTTATAAACTAAAAAAATGTATGAAAACGTCATTTTCTAAAGCTCTTTAAACCTACTTTATTTTTTTATGAATAAGGCCATAAGATTAAAAAGTTTGAAATTTTGATAAAAAGTCGTAGAATTTTTCCTAAATTTTGCAGAAAGTTTAAAACTTTCATTTAAGTATATGGTTTTTAGTTAAAGCCTGGACAATACTTTTATAGAAAAATAACCAAAAAATAACTTGAATAATATTGTGAATATTTAAAAAAGATCAACACGTCGTCACTTGTTTAGGGAATAAAATTTGGTGTCGAATAGCGAATTCATAATTGTAACTTTAACTTAAGTATGTAATTGGTATACGCTTAGCATAACCTTGATTCAACTTTCCTTTCTCAATGTCTTTCCAGTATTGACTTCATGCGAACGCCTCAAACTTAAAAACAACATAGCGGCCCAGCGCTCCGGTTACTCATCTGTTTGGTTTCAACCACGCTGCGATCCCGTTACCGGTCATTGGAGTCCAGTGCAATGTTTAGGTGCGCAACCGTCTCTCAATAACGAACCACCCACTCAGCCGAAGGAGTTAGGACGTGCATCAAAACCGCGTCCCATCAAGGCTTTCTCTTCAACTAACGGTGTTTGCTGGTGTGCCGACAAGAAAGGAGCACCGCTCAAAGGTACACTGACACGTGATGTTGAGCCCATTTGTAATGGTCGTCAGGGCCGTCAAAGTAAATCATTTAATGTTGACGACCACCTCATGGAAGAACTAATCAGACAAATGACAAGAATGGTTGATATTGAAGAATATAGCATTGAAGGGAGGAATCTAGACGTCAACATAGAGCCCGACACTAGCGATGGACGAAGTAGTAGAGGGCGAAGCATGAGTGACAGCATGGCGGTTGAGAGTGAATATTATGAAACGCCAGTCAGTCGAACCGAACAAGCCACAGCCGTGCCAAACACTGCAGCTGAATCATATGTTACTGAGCATATACTTGAGTTGGCCAATTCGTTGTTGGACTCACAGTTGAGCATTGAACCACTAAAGCCCATGCCGGTAAAGACAACACGCTGTCGAGCGCTCTCCGAAACCGCACCCTTTCCCGTATCCTGTAATGAACAAGGCGAATTCCATCCCACTCAGTGCAATAGTAAAACCTGTTGGTGCGTCGATGCGGCGGGAAATCAATTGGACACATCGAACATGTTTAGACCGGGCACACATTATTGTCCGGAGACGCCAATAGCATCAGTGGCGATCGAATTGCACATGGTCAATCGCACAAATCGAAATATTCGCAATGCTTACGACACCATCCGCAGAGAGCTATATCAATTGCTCGGCGATGCTGTGGAAAATCTGCGCGTGCAAGAAAATTTTGATGGATCTGTAATTGTTCGTTTTGAACTGCATAATGAGGCGAAAATAGATCTAGCCTTCGCCATTGAATCGGCCATCAATGCGAATCGTTTCAATTTAGTAGGCGGACATTTTACACCTGATATTTCTAGCTCTCATTTCATACACCGCAGCGTGAGCTCGCCTGTCACAACTTCGGTTTCACCTGAAAGTACCATTCAATTGGTTCTATTCATTATGGCAACCAGTTCGGCGTTTCTAGTCAGTATTTTCGTCGTTTATGTCATGCTAAAACGAGGCAAACGAACAAAGATTCTAACCGACCATTATGGATATCCGATATACCCTGCGGAAACGTCTGCTAAAAGTATAGGCGGTGGTGATAAGGCAGTTGATTTTACAGCACCCATATTTGTGTTGAGCTCTCACGATCATGACTCGGAAAGCACGTCAAACCAGCAGCGCAGTAATATCTAAAATTAAAATTTGTTATTTACATACATATTTTGCTTCCGACCTACTGCGGATCGAATTGTTTCATACCTAGAAGTTACTAAGATAAACTTTATAAGAAAATTTAGTTCAAGGTTCTCACTTTGTATTAGTGTTAATTACTTCCTATAACTAGTTGGGAGTCTTGTCTTTACCCACAATCTTGATCCTATGGTGAGGCTCAGATAGCAAATATTTATTAATTTACAGTCATGTGTTAAAAACTAAGGCATCAAAAATAATTGTTTTTTTATTTTATTTTATATTGACAACCATTACACTTTATTGAATCTAACTAAACCTAAAAGCATATTTGAACCACATGACAATAAAAATGATCTTGACATAACTGCCATAAAGTTATCCTTCTACCAATTTCCTCATTCTTTTAACCTTGCAAATTTTTAACACATATAAAACATGTGCTTTTTGCTTTCAGTTACAATTTATAAAAAATAATAATGAAAGGTATTGAAAAAAAAAACCAAACTTCCATTTGAACTATGGATTGATAAAGTATTGTAAGTTCTGGTATGTAATTGAAAGGTAATCACTAAGATTTTACTCATGGTGTTATTATTTTACACATGACTGTTACATGATTTGTTAAAAAAAGGCCAACAATCATAATCGCAAGTAGATGCATAGTATTAAAAGAATATTAAATTTTTCTAGAAGTTGTACATATTATTCATTTAAATATTGTTTTACACACTGCATTATTTTCACGGTTCTAGAGGCCTACTTACAAATGTACATGCATACATATGTATATACATATATTTGTTATTTTTTTATATGTTTTATATGTTTCTGTATTTATTTATAATTATTTATGCATAAAGTGCTTATAAATTTTATCCATATGATTATATTTTTTAAGAAAACTAATAATCATTTGCATTAGAAAATTAATTTGTTTTACTTTGTTTAGAGAGCCCTGCAAATTAATAAAAAGAAACTCAATGTCTCTTCGACTCGAAACACGTGTAATTGCTATTCCTTCCTTGATAGTCATTAAATTATGAGATTTGAGATTTTTGGCCGTACCTAATTGATTAAATTGAAGGAATTGAACATTTGCTTTGGTAGCAGTTTTTAGTTTGGCGAGACCCAAACTCAGCGCACACGAGGATTTTCACCTCCTCGATCCCGAACGGGTGTTTGGTCGCTCGCACTATGGACCAAGTATAATAAAACTACGTTTTTAGTTTTTCTCTCTGACGTCAAGATTTTTTTAAAAGGGCTTTGAAATTTAAAAAATATGATTACTACTTTTAAAATTTAATCCCTGAATAACCTTGTAATTTTGAAATACTTATTTTGGAAAAGAAATTATTTGTTAGGGACAAACATATACACTCGAGCGCTTCCTTAAATCTCGTCCTTCTAACTTTATAAGCTTAAAAAATAAAATTAATTAAAAGGGTAATTTCGATACCCATTCGACCTCGTGAACTAAAAAATTTTAACTTTTCATTGAATTTTTCAAATAATTTGTGAAATTAATCATATCTTTGGCGACCGATGTGTTGCAGTGTTGCCAGAAAATGTTTGTCAAAAGTATTCCTAGTGCGGAAGACGAATCTTCAAAAAAAAAAAACCTAAAAATTTCGCTAAAACTAAAAAAATCGTTTTTCTCTAGAAATATCGTAATTGAAGATTTTATATAAAAAACCTTATATTTTTTTTTGTTTTACAAAACCGTAACACATTTTATTACAAAAAAAAAACAACAAAAATAAAAAGTTCATAAATTTATAAAGTTGGATTTGCACTAGGCATTAAATGGCAAATGACAAAGTTGGACTTTAAAAAATGATAGTGTCATTACCTTAAAAAAAAATTCATAAGTTCATTTCCACATGACATTTCTTTAAATGGCATACATTTTTTGTCATTTCAAAGCCTAGTGGAAATTCGGCATAACAGTTTTACTTGACTAGTTCACAAAACATACCATATTCATAAAATTCAATAATAATATCTACCTGTCCTTCACCTGCCAGTGCCAACTACCTCAAACCACTGTGTAAACAGTGGGCACAGTTCAACGTTTCACTTTTTTCCTATCCGTATTTGACAAAAGCCATATAGCTGGCCTATTTTCGCATTTGCAGCAGTAAATTGATGACAAAAACGAAAAAATTTTGTTGACAACTATTAAAAAAGAAAAATTCCAGTGCTGCCAGATATCTTCACTGTGAATTTTTTTTTTTGTATGGAGTTTTATTTGTTGTAATTATATTCTTGTGAAGATTTTTCTGATTATTTATGAAAAATATCTTCAGTTTGAAGTGAGTAGTGCCTAGCAATGCGCGTCTCCACTCCTCAGGCCCTAGGTTCAAGCCCTGGTCAAAGCAACTTCGCAAAAAGATATATACATATCACACACCATCTTCAAAAGAGTCAAGTTTTTAGCGCATAGTTCCAAAAATGCCACATTTTGAGTTGTGGCTCTGTGTTGAGGACGGTTTGCGATATGCATGTAAATTACAGCTTTCGGCCCTCGGCAGTCCATGTCAAACATCCGAGTGTATTTCTACCACGAAAAAACAATCGCTGTTCAGAGTCGGCATAAAACTGTAGGTCCCTCCGCTTTGTGTGACATCATCAAAGCGCACGCCACACATCGGAGGAGAAGCTCGGCCAAACACTATTATTAGTAGGGGTCTTCATCTAAAGTGATAAAACGATAAATTGCTTATATGTATCAGGTTATCCGCATTCTCTCATTATTTAACTTATCCGGCTAGTTATGTTTCATTCTTACCTCGTCCATTGTGCTAATTTGCTTTTTATGTGTTCGTAGCAAAATCGACCACCTGACACGTCTGTCAGGGTTTAACTTTGCGGAAATTTATACATTTATCCACAGAAATCGTTTGATAAAGTGATTAAATTTGGTTCAATAAATTTCCATATAAAGTTCGTTTATCAAATTGATAAATTTATCACTTTATCAAATTTTTCACTTTTGATGAAGACCCCTTTTATTATTATCATATCTTTGAAACAACAAAAACTAGAAATATTTAAAACGCATTTTTACCTATACATAGTTTCGTGAGTATATTGATTGCTTCATGTGTTTATTGAATTTTTTTTTGTTTTTGTCTCGCGGTGTTTTATAACAGACACCATATAAATTCGCATTTCCAACTTTGTACAAAAAAGTTCGAGCATTCGAGTTCATTCACCGTTCATAGTATAGTTCATTCTATAATATAAACCATTGAAATCAAAGTTTCACGCTTTATATAAAGTTCACAAAAATTCAAACAAATTTTAATCAAAATTTTCAACTTTTTATTCAAAACTTCAAGAAACTTTTCGAGTATGCAGTTTTGTAGCCCATCATATAGACTTACATATGTACATGCATATACCAAATTGCTTAGAAAGAAAAAAAGAAGTCGATTAAGCCACGTCTGTCTGTCCGTTCGTCCGTGCATACGATGCGATACATACATATGTATGTATGTCAACGAAATTTGGTAAGTAGGTTGCACTTAATCTAAGGTAGGTTGGTACTGGAAATGGGCAAAATCGGACAATAACCTCGCCCATTTGCCATATAACGGTATTTTCGAATAACGGAAAAACCGCGATATCTCCGGAAATACTGGATCCAAATTGTTCAAAATTGGGATTGTGAAGTAGAATTTTGGCACAAAATAAGACAGTTACGAAAATTTTGGAAAATGGGCGTGGCACCACCCACTTGTGAGTGATAAGCAACAAGCAACATATTGGAAATTTTTGAAATCGGACTAAAATTACGCCCGTTTGCCATATAACGGTAAATTTCAGAAATACGAAAATCTCGATATATCAATAACTTTAGGCGCCAATTACTCAACTTACACCAATCTCTTAACAAGAAACCAAAACTTGGTTCAATTAATTCAATATCGCAGAATATAATTTAGCTAGGCCTTCTTAAGTGAAACCATTCGTAAAAAAATTTGTTTCAATTGTAAGCATTCTATAAAATAAATACTTTGAGGGCGTTTATTAGATAAAAATAATATTTATTCAGGTTTAGTAAACTTATATTACATTAATTTGGCTTTTTAGTATGCAAAGCTCGTTCACGCATTGTGAGCGTTCGCTAAACACAATTTTTTGTAGTTTTTTTGTTTTTGTTTTTTGTAAAAATGCTTAGTATTATTGACAATGTTTTATTTAAAATGCTTCATAAAATTGTTTGAAATTTGTAAATATGTATGTATGCAATGCAGCTTAATAGAAGATGATAGCTTTACTGCTGAATGTTATTTAATTATAATTATGTATGTATTCAGATATTTTCCTCCACATGTATGTATGTATTGATTTTACATCACACTGGGGAAAATAGGTAAGCATCTTACGAGGTAATCCAAAATTGTCATCATGACCAATGTCATCAACTAGTAAAGCACATAATGAACACCTCCGACGAGGCATTACACTGTCGCTTGCAAAAGAACGTGCCGCCGAAGTTACTTCCAAGCGCCAAACTACTCCGAGCGACCGCTCTTCGTTCTACGTATGTAACTTAATTTGTAAAGCGGCTCAGAAGTATGTCCGATACCATATGTACGTTCCACATGGCGCGTACCTATTTTCCGAGTGGGATACGTACATATTTATGTAAATGTGTATAGTTATACTTAATACATTTTTGCATAAAAGCTCGACTATTTATACGTGCACTTGTTTGTGTATTATAATATCATATGTTGAAAATATTCTTATAATAAATAATTACAAGCATTTTGAAATGAGTAGAATACTAAATGTTTTCAAACCGCAACTGGGCTGACCTTGAAATACATACTTACAATATACAATATGTATGTGTATTAGAGCGTCAAAAAAAGTTCGCCGTACACCACCTCCTCATATGAAGTGTTTTTGAAAAGCATTAAAAAATAATAATTTTTTTTTGGACAACCCTAGTAGTCGCCAATTACATTTTTCTTCATATCTTCGGCAGTTGTCGTCAGATTTTAAAGTGTGATACACCAATTTTTTTGTCTCGGGGAGGGGTTTTTTCCTACGAAATTGACCTCATGTGTTCCATTGTGGTAATTACCCACCAGATCTCAGTTGCTACCACTCCAACGTACCGCGCTAATGACAGAAAATGAAATACCGTCAAAAATCATTAATCTTTTGCGAAAGAAGTATTTCGATTAGTTCAGTAGAACCCGAAATAAAACACATTTTGTTTATTTGTTTATCTACCGGACAC